TGTTCAGATCTCCACAGTCTTCTTTATAGCGTTATAGCTCTTTCCCATCGAGGGCTGTTGATGAGAGTAGAGAGAATTTTAGTACTTGGAACACTACTAATTGTTGGGGGACACGGAATTTCCATGTTCGCACCAACTGCTCATCTGTCGTCGTCGTCCTCTACGCGCGGGGATTCTCGTTAGATGATCGTCAGTCAGACGACTCAGATGTACACTTAACCTCAACTTTGAACGCTCGTGCATTATCGTGTTGAAAATCAATCAGGTCGTGAGGGTACAGCTTGTACCGTACAAGCCGGGAAAGGCCTTTCCGGCCACGGTGTGCTACGATGCATCAGGTGACAGTTGAACTGTCATGGTTCTGGTAATGCTTGTCGCGTAATATCCTCCATCGCGGCTGCTCTGAGGTTCACCGTCTGAAGGGCAGCTCCCAAGCGTCATCGGCCAGAATTGCTGAGGTAACCGCATCTTCACTTCGGTTCGAGGATGCCTTGGACTCCAAGGCTTGGAGCCGACACGCTAGCTCGTTAACGTGTACGCATCACCATTGTTACCACGCTAACTGAATGAGGAATGATGTTGCGCACGCGCCACTGCAGATTCGAGTGACTCAAACACATGCAATCCGACTGTTGTCATGAGAATGGTTGAGATTTGCCATGTCGCCGTTTACCCGTTCGGAACAGATGTTGTAGTTTCAGTTAAACTCATCTTCAAAACCGTGGAGCATCACCTGGGTGGACGCTCCACGCGCCATCTCGAGGTGTGGGCCACACCGTGTGGCTCCACGCGTGGCATGACGCGAGGGGCTTGCGCCACTCATCGTGTTTCCCGTTCGTATACGATAGCAACAACCTTTTTATCTCACCTAAGCTTCGAAGATGAGTTCAACTGAGGCTACAACGTTAGTAGGCATGCTGATACGGCCTGGCTGATATTACCTCAGCATTAGCCTTTATTATGTGGATCGATTAGTTCATTACCATGATGGCGGACTCTCCCTGATTATGCGCTGGGATGCTTGACTATATCTTTTACTATCTGGCAATAGTTGAGCGACTCGGTATCATATCGGAAATCTTGTAGATTGCTAAGTATTCTTTCAGTCCATCTCTTCACACTGGTGCTCAATGTTTTCTCAGAGTTCTGTCTCGACCGTGACAAGTTGTCACTGACAACCCATATAGCCAACCAACTTGGTTGGTGCTCCGCTGGATCGCGTGAGGATCAATGTGGAGTCCACATTGTGGACCGCCCCTCAACACTCGCCCGATGTCACAAGCACTTTTTCGCACTTCAAGGGAATGAAATCTTCTTCCCTAATGGGATCATATACCAAACGAATCAATTGAATGGGACTCCCATTATGGGAGACGCAAAGCAGTCATGAAGCGGAAGCGCAACAGTTAACAAAAGAAAATTTCTTTTGGTAACTGTTACGCTGTTACGCTGTTTCTTCAAGAAATGTGCAATACTGGCCGTTACTTCGTAGTTTTTAATAAAATGCCACCAGTTACTCGGTAAAAACAGCGCATCGCCGGCATTCAGAATGGCTTCCGAGTATATCGCCTCCTTATATAAGGGATATCTCTCGGGGTCGATAGGTTCAGTGAGGATGTCAGTCGGCAGAGTGGAATTGTTAGTGAGGATACCTCGCTGAAGAGGGTAAAGACACTTCTCCTGTGACGTTTTTTTCATGTCGGATATCAACACCAAGTGTATCACTTCTCCCACTCACGAGCCATGCACTTGGCTTACTCCTTTCTCTTGAGGGTTTGTTATCGGACTAGCCCGCCTACATTATTCGAGCTATCTTAAGGTACGAGCTCACGAGTCGTAGGCTTCTTTCACTACTTACAGCTCATCACCCACTCGAACTCAAAGCCATTCTGATCATCATCATCATAAGGCACGTGGTCATGGGCATCAATGTCATAAACGCAATCGAGTCAATAGACGCGAATGTGAAATCGAGAGTAATGGCTACGCCATCTGCTCTGTGAAGTTTTGAAAGCTCAAATAGAATCACCACGACAAAATAATGTCCAGAAGCTTCACTTGTCATTAGTCGCCATAAGACACTGGCTGAGCTGCCTTCAGAATACTGGCAATTTGCTCTGGTTTGAGGCCGGCTTGGCCAAAGATACGCTCCGCTACCGCGAAGGGGTTAGGGAGCATCTCGTTAGGAGCTGGGAGAACATGTTGAGGCACTGTACCGCCCTGAGGGGTCTGACCGTTGGGGACGCCGGCCGGCGGGGCTGAATTATTGTTGAACTGATGGGCCGGGAAGTCCATATGGGGTGGGA